CACACACACACACACCACTATTTTAAGTGCCTCTGATTAACCCCTAATAAAGTTCAGCTGTTCATGTGTACGTGATGAAACCGAAGAAATGCTTTACTTCCCAAAAGGTTTGAACAAAAATAATGAATTTAAAATGTGTTTCAAAGGATGCACAGATGTGTTTCATGTGTTTATTAACTGATTACAAGGGCGATTTAAAAAGTCTGGTTTTATTTTGGCGAGTGGGCACAGCTCACCTCAAGATCAGGGTAGCTGAGCACCACGAGCTGGGAGCAGGCATTGACGTCATCACCTTTGATAAAGGAGAGGTCCAGTCCAGCAACGCGTTCCAGTCCCGAGAAGTCTGGGCTCTTCTGCCAGTCTTCCGTATCCTCCACCACCACCTGCTCTCTGAGACAGGTTTGCTCACTGCACACATGATAGAAGATTGAGGCAACAAAAGCAGATGCTAAACATTACACTTTACATGTACAGTAAAGCCCGCATTATCACAGTTCATCACTGGCACATGTGCGCTTTCTTTAATGGTTATTATAGTGTGCAGGCAAGTCATATTTAGACTTGCGGGCCTTCAGTGTGGTACCACATCATGCCGCAACATGCTGGGCAGCATTGAGATAGACTGGAAGAGATGCAGCGTAAATAACAGCCAAACGAAGAGACAGAGGACCTTAACCGATATAGTTTAGTCCTGAAATAATAATCATTCTAAAAGAGCACAGAGAACATACAGGATGTGTGCGAGTATGTATGCAGCTCTATTGTTTGTATGTATTGCTGCTGTGAGTGTGTGAAAGTAGTTGTTGTTAGAAGGTTTCTCATTACAGTAGCATCTAGTGTATGCTAATTTCCACAATTTAGGACACTTAAGAGTGTTCCGTTAACCTGCCATGGATGGTTTTGGAATGTGGGAGAAAATAGGACTGCCCGGAGAAAACCCACACAGGCACGGGGAGAACATGCAAACTTACACAGGAAGGCTGGGGTCTGGAATTGAGCCCTGCACTCCTGCGTTGTGAGGCAGAAGTGTTCACTAGTCGACCACTGTCAACCCTTATCCATACTGAGGGGGGCTATCTTGTCACTTGCCATTGACTAAAAGGATTTTGCTGCTGAATTTACACTCCACAAACGCCGTGTTTAGACAAGTGGAAGTGCATAGTTACAAGAATATGTAAAGAAAATCTTTGACTTGAGTTGCCTTTTAACTGCATTTAGCACCCAAAGTAATAGTCGCTCTGAATCTCGGTCTCTATCTCTAATCGAAGGTGAGTCAGGTGTTCAATGTACAGTATTTAAATTATAGCCACTACCCCTTTTGAATGGAAAAGGGGTGAAGGGGTAAACACTCGACAGTCAAATCATGAGGAAAACCTGTGCTAATGTTGCAATGTGACAATATATGTAGTACAAATTCTCCCTTAAAAGATAATAAAGCTCACTTGCTCAGTTTTGATTCACACAAACCAAGGTTGTCATTTAACAATACTACACGTTATAGTTGGGCATCCACTGGTTTGAATTGCCCTGCAAAATACTGACAGCGATGCAGAACAATTTGGTTATTACATGTGAGAGTGTTGAGGCAAAATATTGGGTATTGAGACTGAGGTCAGTGTCACTCAAAACTAAGACTGTTAACTCTGACAGAGAGACTTGTATTGACAGCTCGTGGATTGTGACAAGTGGTTCTACTGCTCGCTGAGAACAAGGATTATTGAACAAACATAAATATACAAAAATGCAAACACACTGACCTTTCCCACTGCTTGACCAACTCTTCTGTTGGAGACATTTATTCTCTTGGGACGGGTTGCATTGAAATCATTCAAGTATTATTTAATGTGCAGCTACTTGAGATAGAAGTGCGTACTGTACTTCCGTGTTTGACGTCATCCAAAGCCTGTCCTGAAACCAGCGAAAGGAATAACCTCGAAAATACTACCATCTAGGGGCACAAAGTAAAATCACAGTGGGTTAAAAGACAAAGGGATCAAATGTGCTTTAAATGAAATATAACATAATAAATTGGGAATTGAAATTAATTACACAGATGTGTTGCAGCCAATTGGAATTCATTGATGACATATTTAATTAAAGTCCCTGCAGAGGGAAAAATACATTTGCCTTCTAAATATAACACACAGAGAAGAGTGTGTTTACAATACTGGCAAATTTGAATGATTGAAAAAAATCCGCCTGATTTTTTTAAAATGCTTGATTTATCAAGATATTATCTTCGCTACCAGTCGATGCGTGCTTAATGCGCCCATCTATTAATCAAATCCCCGCACTCCTGTCAGAATGGATGCTACTTTGTCATCTTTCTTCTGCCTACTATAACATATTTGAGTGATGAAAATAAACGCCCGTAAAGCCTCCGGTTGCTGGAAAATATCCCACAAGGTGCTCTAATGCCGCTCGTCCACACACTGGCTGTGAAGAGAGAGTGATACCTATATATTTTTTTTCTTTTCTATAATCTCATATATTGACGCTAACATACAGTGTGCAGATTTGAGAAGACTTTCATTTTAAAATTCTACATCGGATTTGTGAGAAACTTCCTCTGTGAAATCATTAGATAGCCTACTCTAATGTGTCCCAGTAGATTGGTTTTGTTCTGCCCAATGAGAGGGTGTGAAACCAATTTGTTGCAGGGCGCATTGATGTGTTTTCATTCGGAAGGCGACTGTCAACCCAAATTACTGTATATCACATTTTTTGACACCTCAATATGAAGGCTCTCTGTTCAACATTGTGCTAAAAGGACACTGAACTTGCCATTTCTGAAAGCCCTTTTATTTAAAACAACCATGCCATCTCGAGGACAAAATGTAACCGGTTCACATGAAGTTATTTTGAAGCTTCATTTTCCCATCACGACATAATTCTCAGCCTTGGGATCAAATCGAGATAATCTAGCAGTAAAATTGGATACAGGAAATGAAATGAGGCAAGTGTGTGATTACCAGGAGTAGTTTTTCCTTTGGTTCTCTCTTATTTCTTTGATGTTGTGAGTCTTTATAATGCACATTTACTTCTTAACATTTTTTTCGTTTGTTTACCATGTGTTAAATTGATCATGATTTTTAGTTATCATACATTTGCATATTATTAACGAATTGATTATGCTTGCAATGAAGAACGCTTATGCCTGCAGTGATAAATTGATTATGCCTGCAATGAACGCTTATGCTTTTAATAAAGATATGCTCACATTTATAAGAAAGAATGCTAAGTGCACTGTGTGACCGTTGAGGGACGCAACCACCTTTCCGAGAAAGTGGTTGGGAAGGGATAAGGTAATGAGACAAAACAAGAGCAAGGTCGGACATAGATGGAGCTGTCAACACCAGTTGCAACCAACCTACTTGGTGTTTTTGTAATGATTGCACACATGTAGGTAATTTTCACTCACATACACACACATAGTCAAACAAGTTCAGTGTGTCTTCAACAGCCCTCACCCTTGAGGTTGGACACAGCCATGTATTAGATTCCCAATGAGAAATAAATGAGAGGGCGAGCGGGGAGATTCCTGGGTGACGTGCAGAGAACTGAAACCTAACGCTTCTCCTCGTTCCCCCCTCAAGTGATTGGTATCAGAATCCAGTGTGTCCTCTCATCATTGGGTCTTTATTATGAATGTCAAATTGATAACTCTGACACTATGATAAGAAAAAAAAAACATCTAATTGATGGTGCATTTGTTGCTATATCAAGTGGTTTTGCACAGTGATGTTTTTCAATTACGCACGAGAACTATTTTAGTAAATAATGGAATATTGTTGATTTGAGAATGCAGGAAAAGTGCTCCTCGAAAAAGGAGAAAGAGTCACAAATGAAAGAGCAATGAAAATGAATGGGGCAAAATGTACAGAATTCAAGTTTAATGTTTTCCAAAAAAAAGTGAAGGCGCAATATTCTCATGAATTCAAACTAGTACTTTTTACATAATATCTCATATGAAGATAAGAGGAGATATGCAACTTCAACAGACTAGAGGGTGGACAAACAAACACACGAAAAAGTAATGACAAACATTTCATAGCCCTCAAGAGATCTTTGAAAATGTACACGTATGTGTGAATTAGAGAAGGACACCAAAAAAAGAAAAAAAAAAAAACCATGAAGGGTCTCCGGTATCTCCAACACTGAATCCACATGGTAATCAAATACTGGATACAAGAACACTTTATGCCCATGGCTTCAATTCTTAATTTCAGCCATGCAGTTGTACAAATCTAAGGTCCAATCTGATATATATGGGTGTGTGTGTGTGTGTGTGGGGGGGGGTACTGAGGTCTGCTTCTGTATATTTATTCATTCTAATCCTGTTTCTTTAATTGGTCATCTCAATCAAGAATTAGCATTTGACGGGTATCTGACTGTGTGGGTCAAGACATGCTTCAGAGTGGGAGCCAGGAAGTTGAAGGCCCAGTGGCCCCGAGGGAGTGTGTACAGTAGATACATATTACAGGCATGTCTTATTTTCAATGCTGTTTCCAGCATTCATTCTTGTACATCCACACATGATGATAGCCCTCATTCTGAGGAGGTAAAACATTTCACATTATTGCTAATATTCCACACAAAAAATATTGACCTTTTATTCAGAGTTAAAAACAGTTTTGTGTATCTAAAACATGCACATTAAGTATCCTTTGGAGTGATTCTCACTTCTCAGGTATTGAGTGTCCATCGATACAGCATTTGATGGCTCTTGGCAATTTACAGTCAAGTCATCAATGCTTCTAAACCAGTTCACTAGTAAAACTGTTGCATGGAAATGATGTTTTTGGACAACAATGATTTAATTGACCTTGAACGGAGCAGCTGTTTCTAAGTTAGTCTTACAAAGGCTAAAATGGTGTTTCTTGAAAAATGGCTCTTATAATGGCTATTCATTTACAAATAGCAGACTGGGAAAGCCAGTCACCATGTGTAACATGTGCATGCAGTGACACACCCCTCTGTTTCAACCCCATCAAGTATGTCAAAGACAGTAGCACTCCTCAAACATAACTAGTACATGTACAGTAGCGCTATCTTCTTTTTTTTCCCTAAAACATTGAGGAATGATAAGCATCATCATAAAGATATTCTTAAAATGCCCAGACATAGTGGCTCAGTTTGCCTTTGTGCCTGCCTGTACATTACATAAAGGTCACCTGCAATTAGCCCTCACCATCACCACCATCTACAATGGACATCTCAATGATAAATAGAAATATTTCACACAGTAAAAACCCATGTTATTGCTTCAAGCACTGAAGAGTGAGATGCTGGTCAAGTATGCTGTTCATGGCATGAAAGAGCCCTCAAAAGATGGTAGGGCCAGCCACACGAGGCTATCACATGACAGTCAGGATGATCGGAGGAGAACATCTGGACACTAAGGGACACCAACAGAAAGCAAATCCCATCCGTTGACTCATTTTGTATTGCCATGATTTAATAAGTCCCACCCACTCAGGAGCTTTGTGTTTGTTTGAAAACATGTGCGTGATATTTGAATCCGATCTGAGTAAACTGTGTTTTGCGGGTGTAATCAACTCAGACATTCACATTGGATTTGTGGGCTACAATCTCAAAAATGTCAAGTAAATTTAAAGAAGTGTGTAGGATTTTCCACCTGCTCTCCACATTGAAAACACCTTTCATATAGCGGGAGGAAGGTTTTTCAATGTCAAAAGTCTTTGCGTCACATGTTTTTGTGTAACAGAACTTCCAACCTGCTACAGTGGTGCACCTGAATTAGGGGTGCGTTATCTGATTATTGCCTACAGAATTTAGGAGTGTAAATGCATAAACAGTATACAACAGCGGCTCCAGTGTCTAACTCTAATCAAACCTGCCATTCCTGGGATGAAAATATTGCTTCTTGAATCCTCCAATGATGCAACAGTTAAGCCTGTAGCCTTTAACATTTCCACTCGAAACAAGCCACAATCAAAGTGCAATCCTCTAAAACCTTGGTCTCGTTTTTTTTGCCTAGCATAGACACACCACACACTGAAATATGACCTTTGTGCAAAAAAAAAAAAAAAGAAAAAAAAAGGAAAATCAGCCCTTTGAAAGGAGGTCACACAGTCTCTCTTTTTTGTTTTCAACCCACAATTTGTTGTCTGCTGGTCAGCACCCCAAGTTAAACAGGGTGTACGAGTCTTGAGTAAAGGGGTTCTTGGGGTTCTCACAACATAGGAGACAGTGCTCTCTGTCTTCTGTCTACCTGGAGATCATTGAGCTGGACTGGGATTGGTTGGATGAAGTTGTTGCAGCGCTGAGCTGAGAGAAGCCACTGTGGCTCGACTCCAAGCTGGTCATCGAACCCCTGTAAAAAGAGACATAGTCCAGTAAGGGAAAATAACCTGAACATTTTCTCTGCCTTTTTAGTCCAATCAGTTTGACCAACTAAATGAACATCAGGTGACCATGACGCACCCCCATTAGACAGATGAGCTGAGCTATAATTGATTGTGACCTGAGCCCTGACCAACTGTGATGTCAAAAAGGGGTGGATTTTGCTGCTTAACTCATATTCAAACGCAATATCAATCAGAATGGAGTGTTTAAACTAGTGAAGGCACATGGAACTTATTATTGTACAGAAAATGTGGGGGCTGGAGTTCCCCTTTAAGGGTCTGTCCCTTGTGAAAAACCACAAACACATAGCTATGTCCTTTGATCGTATTATAAAGCTAATTAAGTATGCCACTCCAATTAGGAAGGAATTGGATTCCACGAAAAAAAAAAAAAAAACAGAAATCATAGTTCAGATGGTTTGTATGCTTAGCACAAATTATGAATTTCATGAGGCATCAGGATTAAGGATATTTTGGATTCAATAATTTATATAGGTAAATCCCAAATCACTTCACTTCAATGAACCCAAAGTCGACCAAAAAAAGAGCACGTTAGGAAAAGAATAGTAAGTAGCAGTTTCAAGACTTCAATAACGGCAGTGATTGCTAGTATTGTTAGTCATGCAAGCAGGGCAAAAGTCAACAGACTCAAAGACAGACTGTGCTCAGGACATTGTGACTGCCCAAGCCAGCTGCCATGAAGGTGGGCTGTAAAGTTAGCAGCCAAAAAGCAGGAATGACGACGGGGTAGTGCTAAAACAAAAGGGGCAACCACTGCGCCACTTACAAACTCTGCACGTCACAGCAAGCCGTTCTTCACAGGAAGAAGATAGAGCGGCAGGAGGAGGAGGACAAGAAAGAACAGGAATGCATTGGACAGAAAAAAAATGAATGAAAAAAAATAAGTCTGGGAAAGGAACTGATATATTTTTTATAATGACTTGGTCTTGCAGTATGTACTGTATGGAGTGGAGGGGGACTGATAAAACACGGGCACCAACAGTTGAACTCATTCAAGAATTGACGTTCGATCATTTCAATTAAAACGTTGTTCATGGCCAACGGTATCAGTTACCAACCTGAAGTCCTCAGAGCCCAACACCTCAGTGTAGTACATGACTTTACACTTGTGTGAGGAGACTTGTAGTGTGGCCAGCACATCATCTACCCGAGGCAGATTAGTGGCAGAGCAGGCCGGCATGTTGTGGAACTTCCATTGGAGGATGTAAAACCCTGGCCAGCGTGTAATATGGGAGCCCTAAACAAAGCAAAGCAAAGGTGTGTCACAGACAAATGAGGAACAAGAATAAGATGTCCTGTCAGATGAAACCACATGAAACAACAAATGTTTGACCCTATATTCTCAAAACCTTGCCTGCACACTTTCTCCCTCCTTGCAGGTTAGAGGGGACTCGACCATGCTGTAATCTTGCCCCAGCGTCCATGACTTGTCAATGAGCTGTACATTGTTGCCACCGGGGGAGGTGATCCCATGAGCTCCGAGTGGATCTTTACGCGGCGGCTGTGGGGCACGCTTGGAGTGGTAGATGTTAAAAACCACATCACCCTTACACACATCAAAGTCCCAGGTGATGACTGAAGAGGCGTCAATGATCTCAATCAGAAGCTGTTTAAAAGGAGGAGAATAAATGATCAGAACTGTGAATTTGTATAGATCCCTCTAAATTATAATGGAGAGGTGTTTCAGAAAAAAATGCAGGAACCAAATACAGGAATAGAAAACAATTGTTTGCAATTATGACATTTTTGTCACGTACATCTGGAAGGGTTGCATTGAGAGACAATTATATCTTTGGTCAAATCATGTTAGGAAACATAACTGCAGTTATGTTTCCGGGCAGACCATATTTTATGCCATTGAAGAATGTTCCATGTCGGAAATAAAGAGGTGCAGTCTACAGGTTTCGACCACTGGATGGCAGCCCTTTCAATAAAACAAAATCTCAGAGATATGGTCTGTTGCTCTTGGCTTGGCCTACATATCGACTCCAAGTGTCACTGCTTTTATCCTGTTGTTCTGCATGTGTTACTCAGTCTCACCTCATGTGGAGCTCCTTTGAAGATGCTGGCGCTTTGGTAGATTGTTTCGGTCCACAGACGAACATCTTCATTCTCAAGCTCCTCTGCAGTGCGGTACATCGACTTTGGGACCAGGCCTCCCTCAGGTACCTCACACTATATAAGGAGAATGAGAGAGAGATCACGTGTGATGAAAGTAGGTCAGTAAAGGCGATCTTAGAATTGCATCATGTTCTTTGACATACATGCTTAATTCTCCACTCACCATACACTCGCCGCCCAGGAAGTCAGGGATAATCTCCTTGTCTATGTAGTCCACCAGCCCACCAGGGCCCTGGTAATCGTTTCCTGCATAGATTAGGAACTTCTTGCGGGTGTTTTCGTCAATAAATGGACTCACCTAAAGTCAGGAACATGAAAGTGTTTTATCAGGTTACAAGGTGATAAAACTGGCTGGTTATAGAGAACAGAATTTGCACAAAATATGCTCACGAATAGTTTTGTATAAATGGCATCTCCTCTACACACAATAATGCTCATCTTACTTTACTCACTTTAATATGCTTGCTCAAATTAGCTCCACTCAAATGGATTAGCTAGGTAAGAGTGTTTGTTAAATGAGAATGTAGAACACTGAGCTTTTTATTGTGCCAGTCTCAGTGCAACTCAAACACCTGAAACTGATTTGAGACCCATCAAGTATGAACTCATTCTGTAATATAGCACTTTCTCTCTCTGTCTAACTCTGAGAGCCAGTGTTCCCCTGTGCTCACCAGAGTCCAAAGGACTGGGAAGACTCTGGGAGCCCTCAAGATAAGCAGGCGTCCCAAAGTCTCTGGATAGTTGGCCTCCACAACCTCGATAATCCTCAAAAGAGCCTTGACTCCTGGTCGCCATAGGTGACGCATGTTTAGACCCTCCAGATCCACGAGACATGTCCAGCAACTGAGCAGAAGAGGAGACCACAAAACAAACATAAAGCACAAGCCGATAAGCGACCATTTAGAACCTGTCGCCTGAAAGTGTGGTTTCAGTGGTGACAGCAATGCATGCTAATTCTAGACTCACTCTCTAGCTCCCTCAACATCCTCTTGTCTGGCTCGTGGCCAAAGTAGCTCAACGGCTATTCATAGTTAATATGCCATCCTGTGTGGCTGACATCTCTGCCCCCACCTCCTGCTGAGATGCCTGAATGATACCATCTAATTTCCTTCCCTTCCCCTCACTCTTCCCAACGTCAGTTGCATTAGTACACTTGTAGACCGAGATACTTTATTGTCTTCATTCTGCACAGACCAGTCACCATGGAGCGACCATAGGGGGCCGTGCCCGCCTACCAACATGCTTGTGATTCCCCAATTGAGGCCCGCAGTTCTAAAAATAAACTTTATTCTTGTCATTATATTTTAGCATCGAAGCTACTTTTGTGTTGTCAAATATTAATGTTGGGTTGCTTATCACTAAGACATTAAAATTTAAAGAAACAACTGTGTGATATTTGTGTGTATGATGGCACCATATTGCAAAATCTGAAACTCACCATCAGTGTAATACAAGCTAATGTCGCTTAAAATGTGAGAAAACTGCAATAACTGGTCACCAAAATGTATGTATGTGGACATCTTTACATATACCGACAACGACCTCTCTTGTCGCAAATGGTGCCATTCAAGACTATTAACTGGAAGTGCCACAAGAATATATCCAAACACGGTAAATGGTAACATGTGGCTTGATGGTCAAATGTTAAGTGGCACCTGCTGTACTCTACAAAGCACACCTGACATCATGTTACCAGTCCTCATATTTATTCAGTTTCAGTTTACCTGATGGGACGACCAAACACCTTTGTGTTCTCTTCGCAGCGTCTCAGCCCCTCCTCATTGATAGATAGCACCTAAAAAAGACCATACCAGACATTTATTGTGACATTTCAACAATTTAGCAACTCCACAATGACAGTGATTTCCACTGTGCACATTTTAAGCACACTATCTATATATTAACTATATGTATGTCTCCTTCAAGACACTTGACATGAATTACCTAACCTGTAATCTGAATGGTTTACATCGACATATAACATGAACTGTCATGTAAACAGTAAATGGGACATAACTACTGTGCATACATGACGAAGCAGCGATTCTTCTCCGAGAGCTCGGACCAGCCCTTTGGTGTCCATCTGGCCAAGTCTCAGGACATACAAAGGCCGACCATCTAGAAGAGAGAACACAGAATAATACACATTTAAATGACTTGCAGAAATACTACAGCCTATGGAGGTTGTATATTAAATTGCTGAGGATTATTATAGCCACCTGCTCTTCTCACAAGGAAAATACTTTTGTCCCATTTATCCTTCACAACTATTTAAACACGTTTGCACATTCCTCTGGTAACAGAAGTACGACTACAAAAATAAACTTTAAAAAGGATATGACAGCATCTACAAAGTGAAGAGCATGTTAGTGTTGGCGTCACCAAGACTACAGCCTATGGAGGTTGTATATTAAATTGCTGAGGATTATTATAGCCACCTGCTCTTCTCACAAGGAAAATACTTTTGTCCCATTTATCCTTCACAACTATTTAAACACGTTTGCACATTCCTCTGGTAACAGAAGTACGACTACAAAAATAAACTTTAAAAAGGATATGACAGCATCTACAAAGTGAAGAGCATGTTAGTGTTGGCGTCACCAAGCAGTGCTGAAAAATGTATGCACGTTGAAGTCACTTGTGTTCTGAATGGCCTTGGGTAAAAAAAAAAAAAAAGTCTTTGAGTTCATTGTCATGAAACTTGAGGGGGAAGGAAACC